AATATGAAGTATATTCCAACAGAAGATGTTTCAGGTCTGTCACTGGAAGAACAGTTGAGGAGCTTACAAGAAGAAAGAACTTGTAAAGTGTGTATGGACAAAGAGGTTTCCATTGTATTTATTCTTTGTGGTCATCTGGTAGTGTGCCAGGAATGTGCCCCTTCTCTAAGAAAATGCCCCATATGCAGGAGTATAATCAAGTGTACTGTTCATACATTTCTCTCATAAAAGAAAAATAGGCTGTATCTTAAGTTATATTGAAAAGTCTTTAACATATTGTTGAACATACAGTGCTATTTGAATGAACCATTGGTTCTTCAATTAGTAACATTTGTGTTGTAATCTGCTTTGGTGCCAATAATCTTATTTCTAAACAGGTTGTTTATATCATATTTAATCTTAACCTGTGTGTTTACAAGAGAGGATTTATGTTTGATGAGCTATATAAGTATACATTGTTAACTGTCACTTTAGGTGTTACTGGATTTGCTATTCTTTCTGAAAGCTTTGAGTACCACTGCCACAATATAGCATAGATTAAAAGAACTGGAAACGTAAACTCTGGAGTTCAGTTACTATGCCAAATTCTTTTTGGTGCTTTTCTCATATGTTATAAAATAAGGATTTTTCTCTTCCTAGTAAATAAGTTCCCCTGTTCTCCTTTAGTTTGTGAGAAACATCTTAATAAAGTACTTTAAAAAGAAAAAAAAATGCTCAAGTCTCATAGCTTATTAAATCCATTTTTTAAAAACACAAAATATATACAAAAAAAAAGAAGCAAAGGAAAGAGATGGGGTAAGTTAACACACTTAGGATAGGATACAAATAGGGTGAAGGACCACGTTTCCTGAATCCTATGCTGTGCAATGTTCAAAGACCGTTCCTCCGTCTCCATCTCTGTCTCTGTTGCATCACCCTTGCTAGTTATGAGAACCAGAGCTGAGGTTTGAAAAAGGAGCCCAATCTGACTGAAGGTGCTCAGGGGCAGGGACATACCCTGCTTACCTCAGCTGTAGCTCACTATCTAGCCTCCTGGACAGTGATGAGTTTTATCTCTTTTGAGGGGAACAATACTGAGTACCACCAAGTGGTGGCCAATTTATAGTATACTATATAGCCCAGGTGGCAGGATACCTTATGACTTGGTGTTCCCATTCCTTTCTATCTGAAAGTAATATCGTTATTTGTTATATTATCCTTATATTTTATTTATCTTTATTTATTTATTTTTTAGAGATGGGTCTTGCTCTTGCTAAGGCTGGTCTCAAACTCCTGAGCTCAAGTGATCCACCTGCCTTGGCCTCCCAGAGTGCTAGGATTACAGGCATGAGCTGCCGCACCCGTCCTCTATTTATCTTTAGTATATCTTACAAGTTACTAACTTTCTTGCTGACTATACATGATTTCTGTGTATCTCAAAGCCTTCGTCATGAACTATGTATTTAACACATCTTATGAATTCTGCGTATGTCTCAAAACTTACTTGTTTATACTTGTTACCTATACTTCACACATCCTATGACTTTTGCTCATATCTTGTAAGCCGTTAGCTTACTATCTATGCTTGGCACAGCTTGCAAATTTCCTCCTTCACATTGGTTTTTGTGACCTCTAGCAGACAAACAATAGAGAAAATTAAAGCTAGCTCTTTGAAAAGATTAATAAAAGCAAGAAACCGGACTGAACAAGGAAAAAAACCCAGAAATTTTCAAATTTCCATGATATAAGGGACATCACTACAGATTCTGTAAACATTGAAAAGACAATAAGAGAATTAGAACAAGATTTATGCCAATAAATTTGACAATTTAGTCAATGTGATTAGTAATGGAGAAAGATCATATAATCTCTATAGATACAGAAAAGAGTATTTGGTAAAATTCACCCACTTACAGCGTAAATTCTTAGCAAATTAGGAACAGAAGAGAACCTCCTTAGTCTGATAAAGAAGTATGTTTCTTTTTTTAAAGTAAAAACACTTACTGGTAACATGGGAAAAACTTTCCTCCTGAGATTAGAATTGATACAAGAACAGGTGTAGGTACTGTTTCCACTTCTACTCAACATTGTACTGGAGGTTTGAGGCAGTGTGACAAGAAAAAGAAAAACATAATGCCTGGGTGTGAATAAATAAAACTTTTGCTAGGTGTAATGGTTTGTGACTATAAGCCTAGCACATTAGGAGGCCAAAAGAGGAGGATTGCTCGAATCCAGGAGTTCAAGACCAGCCTGAGCAACATGGTGAGACATGATCTCTGCAAAAAATTAAAGAAAATTAGCCTGTTATGGTGATGTGTATCTGTAGGTCCAGGTACTTGGGAGGATGAAGGAGGATGATCACTTGAGCCTAGGGATTAGAGGTTTCAATGAATTATGGTGATGACACTGTACTCTAGCTTGGGCAACAAAGTGAGACCCTGTCTTAAAGAGACAAAAACAAAATAACAACAAAACCCACTTGCAATCTGTGCAGCTGATGTGTACATAAAAAATCCAAAGGATCTATAAATAAAATGTTCAAATTAGTAAGTGAATTTATTAAGGTTGCTTAATAGAAGCTCAAACTTCAGAAATTGTTTTTTCTTTGCATCAACAACAAACAACGAGAAAAGAAAGATACTATCACTTCAACTTGGGAGAACAGAGAGAAACAATGAGCCCACGATGGAGAAGGAGTTTAAAAAGAGGAATTTAAATTTGGATGGGGTATGATCTGGTTGTGAAACACTAGAAGAAAACACTTTCAGGCTTTTTAGAAGGATGAGAGAAGGATATATAGGGAACACAAGTCTCAAATTTGGAAAAGGGCAAATCTATAAATGTCTTGAGCACATAAGTAAAGGAGTTGATGACAATTGGAGGGAAAGTGAAAAGGCCTAGGAAGGGAAGACTAGCCTGGAAAGGCACATTCCAGTGGAAGGAGGCAGGGATCAGATCCTGAGGATAAGGAAGGGAGGCAGCATTCTTCTTAAAGCTAAGCAAAGAATCAGGGGAGATGTGGAGATGTTCTTTCATCTCTTTAGCTCATATCCATGACCTGTAACCACCAGAGGCCTACTTCCTTTAAGAAAGACATGAACATAACCAGTTTGATGAGAGTATTTCAAAATGTGTATGAAAACAGCACACTGTACCCCATGATTGCATTAATGTACACAGTTATGCTATAAGAAATAAAAAAGAAAGAAAGACATGAACATGATTTATTGATGGCATGTCAAAGGGGTCAACCTCCCACTCACCAGATGGAATTTTCCTTCCACCCACCATAAACAATCTTTCTAGTGCTCCCTCACCTATACAACTTGAGATTTTTCTCTCTGCCATCCAAGGCTCTTCTTTCTCAAATGTGAAAATGAGTTCTGGTTTGGTAACATGAACCCTGTAGGACAGCGGTTCTCAACCTGTATTAAAGGGCCACGGCATACAGAAACTGTATTAAAGGGCCACGGCATTAGGAAGGTTGAGAACCACTGCTGTAAGAGTACATGACTCAGAATTTAAGGCCACCCACTTGGACTTGGGGGCCTCTGAAGACTGAAAAAAAGTTTCAGGGGCTGCACAGCAAAGCTGCCCATTTACATCTTGGCAAAGTCTGGCTATTTCGCTTAGGAGGTGAGAGAACAAATGCTTCCTCCAGGGTCAAAAAAGATAAGAGGAATCTTCGACCTCTGAACATTTTCAGCAATTAAGTGGCAAGAAATTTCTTCTCTTTCTTTTTTTTTTTTTTTTT